CCTACCCTAAGTTAAGGGTGACTAAGTCATAGTCAACCACGCTGGCCCAGTGCAGGTTGGTTGACTTCACACATATCTTTGAGTTTCTTCTCTGGTATGTGCAGGTTGCATCACGATGTTTTCCCTCACCGTAAGAACGTCAGATAAATGTACTCGTACATATGTAAATCGAAAAACACATTGGTATATGGTGGGATTGGAACCTATGACCTGCGAGTTACGAGTCAAATGCTTAAGATCCCTGAGCCTCCGAGACTCTTATATAATATTTATTCACTAGGCGATTACTAAAAGAAGATGATAATAGAACTTATATTGGCTGTACAGATAATTAATTTTATATTAGATTTATGCCTTATTTATTTTAAGCAAAATTGGGTAGACATTGTTTCTTGCGGAAGTAATTGCCTAAATTACGTCCATCTCAATTGACTCAGTGTCATTTTTTTATTGGAAATCAATCAAATCAATTCTAAAAAGTCATAAATATTTTAACACTTGGACAACAAACTTTGAATTGCTTAAATCTTATTTAGATTCAAATGTTATAACTAAATGTCCATAACATAACTAAATTTACATTTCAATTAGACGCCGCATTGAGAAATAGGGAATTTAATAATTTATAATTTTAATAGAAATATTATATTGTAGTCATGTCTGCAATACTTTGTGTCTCAAGTATAATTCAATTCATAGACAATGCTAACTCCACTCTATACTCCTTTCCTTAAAATAAATTATCAGTGACTTGTATGTTTATTTCTTAAAACAAAGATTTGTTTATGGTTTACAATCAACATATTTGTTTATTGAAAATATCAATAAAGGACCACACGTTATGATTCATCTAAAAATAATATGCGACATTATTTTTGGTACGAATCTTTGTGTTATTTTTATTTTGAATTTACAAGGATATTTGACGGCAGTTCTTGGAGAAACTTACCGTCAGTTATCCTCCTTTTATCCGTTTTAAAAATATTTTCAAAGTAACTTTGTGTTACCACATCAATGTAATAGTTAAGTCTAGTCGATTGGAAACCTGGACCGTGTCGTCGAGTTATAAAAGGGTTTCCGTTTAATTAGATTATTTAACCCTATACTTGTACTGTTTTGTATACAATATCACCCCTTTCTCTTTGAAAAAACAAGGAGTAAAATATAGTATTAACAAGCTCATGCAACAAAAGTCCTGTGCATATAAGTGGCTTCATTGTGAACGTAATATGTCGCAATTCAAGTTAATACCTCATTACATGACGCCTAATGAAAATGTTTATGCAATACTTGTAATTATCAGCTGTTACGTTACGGAATGAATGTGCGCAAAAAGACATTATTATTGATTGTAGTAGGAAAATTACAATATTAACCCTATTGATAACCTTGACCTTTTTGCGATATACATCGAGATCCAAGTATTTCATTGAAGTTAAAACTAACTATAATTTTATTATGAATTTATTTAAACAAACTTGCCTGTTTATTTTTACGCGAATTATACCAAAAATTTCGGCGAAATGAATTAATGTTTGTTTATAAGAAATACCTAAAGGTAAACTTTAGAGGTCGCAGGGTGACAGCGAAGTGAACGTAATATATAACTTGTTGGAGATGAACGCATCCACACGGAAGTAATTGATTCGAACGGGGAGACATTGGCAGTGGCGCCTGAAATAGCTTTCGAGCGGTCACGCTTCCCAGAACTTTCTAGTGGCAAGTGACGCGACGCGGCATATTGGCGCCCAAACAGAAATAGCGTTTCGTGGGAAAGAGTTTCCTTCTTCAGTTCTAAATAAAAAAGTACGGAATTAATTTTTATGCTTATAAAATTCTAACATAACTATGCAAGGACTTCCCCAAGTAAGAAAACTCTATATCTACGTCCCATAAAATTTGTTGCAATAGACTAATAGGATTTTGCAAAAAAGAACAACTATTTAAATTTTAAACTACTACTTACGTACTGTTAGGAAGAGAAAATGTGGCAGCGTATTGGCGCAACACTAGCCTTACAAAAATGTTTGTGTCCCCTCACTATTCATTCTGACACTGGACTTGTAACGAAAGCACGTCATTCGAGCCAAAGGATTCTAACTAATAATGTCTAAAAGTAAGTACTTCCATAAAATATATTATCCAAGGGCAGTTAGAGAACATTATAAAAAATGTAAGGATCATCAGTACCACTTCAGTAAAAACATTAAATCAAGCAGAAAAACCACTACGAACAACAATCCATGTATCCTTTTAAATGAGTAATCAATGTCATTAAAGAACATTGTCAGAAAAAGAGAAATATTTGGAATCGGTGTGGTTCCATCGCGCGTTTTAAAGGTTACCATGAATGATTCAACACTATAAGATTTCATTGGAAGTCTGGACGGAACGGGTTTTTATTTACGCAACGAGTATCTGTATCGTCCAATCGCTATGCTGACCTTAGCTCTTCTTGGACTTGTAAAGCTGTTCTTGCTTCCTTCGGTCAGTTTGACAAATTCTTGTTAAGTGCAACGGAAACGTTACTTAGCAGAAATATCGATGTACCCATCCACTTCTATCATGTTGTTCTTTGCCTTTTTGCAAATATATTATACCTGTCGACCTATAAAAACTTTTTGTAAGTCGTTCGAAGAAAAACCAACTCGCTAGCTGCGAAAACATTGAAAAGACCATGTCTTTTAACTAGATACAGCTACGGTTTAACTATAACATCATACCGTATACTTCTTTGTACAAATCTGAATAAAAATCCACTTACTCTAAAACCCCATAGGATATTCTCGGATTAAAGCTTTATTAAAACGGAGTTCCAACCGTGACCATATACAGCCAGGATTTCAAGATAAATTATCTTATTGCGGTCTATCGCAATACGTCGCTGAGTTAGTTCTACTTACTTGGGGATTTTATTATGTTCTTTATATCAATACCGGGTAATGTTTATGCTTACAAGTAGATAGTAGAGTCGGATCCCTGTTTGATTCTCATAATTCGTCGTCAAGTCGTCATTACAGTTTACCTGTTCAAGTTTCAAGTTAACATTTTATTTGGTCTAAATGAAACCTTATTATTTTTATTCAATCTTGTTTACCTTCGACGAAACAATTAAGAAAAAAAAATTAGATCGCTATTCGCAAGTAATTATCCAATTCTTATAAATTTCTGATAACAAGTTATTGTTCGAGTATTGTAATTTTTTTTATATAATAGCTTGTTGTTAGTAGTCTTGAAGCGGCTAACTTATTTGTCTCACTGCAAATGTTTATTTTTTCTTAGTAAATTGATACTTGTATAATTAATGTTCAATTCGCGCAATATACAGTCCAACCTGGATAAGCGAGAGTCCAAGGTATCGCAATATTCTTTATCGCTAGTGGAAGATTCTTTCATAACGAAAATTTTTCTCGCTTATAGAGATTTCTTTATAAAATGTAATATTTCGTAAATATATTTTATTATGTCGAATATGTCTGTGTATTTAATGGTTATTTCAAATACACGCATTGACGCCACGATGTTAGAAAATATTGACGGCCTCAAGTTTTTTTTTATAAAAATAATATTACACTTGAATATTCAACATAACGTAACTAACGAAAACGCCTTTAGTGTTAAAATGTCACAGTTAACGTTCAGCCCTAACAATACCCTAACCTTTTAACAGCATACATAATGTTTAATTTATTTTATACTACCCATTAGAAATTATTGCCAATGATACTTCAAAGGTCAAACATTTTTACTAAAATATTTATAAATTCAAGAGTATACAGTGTCTTAAGTTAATAGGCTTTAAATGCTAAACTACTCTATAAGAAATTGTTTTCAATTTTTGCAAGTGAATTATCCCATTCATATGATAATGGTCATACTAGGGACATTATTGTGAAAATGAAGTTATTTATCGTACATCTGTTTATTGTTTACCAAATGATCACAAGCAAACAACGTCTTAAGAATAAAATATAAGTATGATATGTTGTACTATGGAACTCGGAGACTGCCAGATGTGTTACTACCTAATTTGTAATACATGGCGAATAAGGATTGTGTTTCCCCTCGGACCCGGAGGAAAAGCTTAGTTACGTCGTTATTTTGCCATAGTTTTCACCTAATGTTACTACTAACATGTTTAAGTATGTGTTAAGTATATATATATAAGTAAATTCTAGCTTGATACCTTCACGCGAGCTTTAGAAAAAGCGTCTTGACAGACAGACGAACGGACAACAAAGTGAACCTATAAGGGTTCCGTTTTTTTCCTTTCGAGGTACGGAACCCTAATAAATGGATGGAATTGGAAGTTCACCGATGTGTTAAATGAGTAATTTTAATGCGATTAGTTAATGAAGATCGATCGATCTAAATTAATGGAGTCAATCTGAGCGTAACATAAATAACACGAATAGCACATACTCGCAATAAGATCCAATATAATTATGCGTCCGAGCGTTATGTTGCCTATTTAGTGTGTATACCTAACTTATATCCTATCTGAATTCGATATTCTGCAATTAAACTGTCAATAAATATAAATGGCCGGCGGTCTGGATTTCTGAAATGGTTAAGGGAGAAATAAGGTTCTAATCAAGAGCGTCGGTGGCTCAGTGATCAAGCACTTGACTTGCAATCTGCAGGTCCTGGGTTCGAATCCCGCCATGTACCAATGTGTTTTTCGATTTCCGATTTACATATGTACATTTATCCGGCGTTCTTACGGTGAAGGAAAACATCGTGATGCAACCTGCACATATCTGAGAAGAAATTCAAAGATATGTGTGAAGTCAACCAACCCACATTGGGCCAGCGTGGTTGACTATGGCCTAATCACCCTTAAATTAGGGTAGGCTCTGAGCCCCTCAGTGGGGACGTATAGTGAGCTGATGATGATGAAGGTTCTAATCGAATGCACACATACACAACCGAGATACATGCAATAATCCAGTAATGATGTCTCTAAATGCATCGTTTAATAGTTTAATTTCTTTTGTTAGCAGAGACGAAAAGCCGAAACAGTTGCCTCCTCCATCCGGCGGAGACGCGCACTCAAACCTGATGGCAGCGATCCGGCAAGCGGGCGGCGCGGGCCGAGCTAAACTACGCCCGGCCGCAGCAGACGCAACGCCTGACAAGGTAATGCCAAGTTGTAATAGCTCATGATATTTCGAGTTATTTTCCTCAAATGATACAGCTACATAGTCAAACTAGATGAGTAATAATGGCTCATAAGGTATTCCTGTCAGGATCATAGTCAAAATAACGTAAAAATATATATCAATACCCCTGCCTTATATCCAATATATAGGCGATTTTCGTTCGTGCGTCCTAACTAAAGTTGTTTATTTCTTCCATCTAAAGTAAAAGACATCGATACCTTTATTTTTTTATTATAAATAACGAAGAAGAATTGATACGTGTCCCGATTCGCGCATTTCATGAACAGTAAAAAGGTCAAATCTGTTCAGCTAAAACACGACTGAGTACTTTGCCGGGAATCGATTTTGGAACCGGTCTTAGCACGCGCCCGCCACTGCGCCGAGTGAGCTGACAAACGACATTCTATTACCACCATCCACATACAACCACACTTTGACAACCGTTAAGACCACATGCTACTTGAACTTTCTTTTAAATAATCAACCAATTTAGAATCATTGGCCAATTGAAGACATTCTATAATATTAAACGTAAGCTTTTCTTTTACATCATAACCTTTTTTAAATCATCAGTTCATTGTAATGTAAATAGCTTCTGTAGATAGCCTCAAGGCACACGACAAAGTCACTTCGCCATTTAAGTAAGTTTACGTGCTCGTGTCTGACAAGGATGTGCGACCGACAACAATACGCTCGTTAATGATTATGTACCCGACATTGAAGTAAAATGTACGTAACTACACTTGACTTACTGAGAAATATATCATTACCGACAATGTGTTATCTCTTGTAATCGTACAAGTGCCCTTTTGCTGTATTTTTAGAAATTAATAATTACTACAAAAGATAATTTTATATGAACGTACTCTGAACCGACTGTACCGTCCCATCTGTCTTACAATTATTATAAATGCGAATGTAATGGATGTTTGTTAGAAGGTATCTCCAGAACAGCTGCATAGATCTCGCTGTAATTTGATATAGATGCAGATCATAGCCTGGAAGTACATTGAGTACTAATTAAGTTTTTTTTTTAATTCCGCGTGGACGAAACCGCGGGCGCGAGCTAGTAGTCTCTAATTCTTATAACATTTTGTTATTGTGTGCTTCATACTCGTAGTTAAATTAAGTTAAGTTAAATTACGTGCATTACCTTATCTCTACGCTAAACTTAATGTAGTAATCATGTAATCGATTATATCTTTTTGTCCTCCGCTTATATGCTAAAAGTCTAAAGTTGATACCGAAAAAGTCTATTCACCGTTTTTAGGGTTCCGTACCTCGAAGGGAAAAAAACGAAACCCTTGTAGGATCACTTTGTTGTCAGTCCGTCTGTCTGTAAAGACCCTTTTTACTAGATCTAATACCTTCTATATCAGTACGATTTATTTTGTGTTAATATAAATCGTACTGATATAGAAGGTGCTCAATTTGCGCTTTATTACCTCCATCGCTGTAATAAGCCCGCGAATTAACCGTCAACTAGCGGCGCTTGTTTTAATCGTTCAACCTTAACGATCATATGATTCCGAGAAATCGATACCCTCTCGTAATCGTCATTATTTTTCATTCGATTTAGGTTGCATCGATATAATAATAGTAGCCAGTATTTGTTTATGCTATAATGCTATAATTCATATTGTGGATAATTCAAGCTTACATGGTCGTGCACATTTGTCGTCAGTTTCTTGTTCCAATTACAATTTTCTAAAAGTTTTATAATCATATATGTAGAGGCGTATTAAATTGTACAGTCATAAAACTTGCCTGTTGGCCAAAACATTGACCTATTAAAAATGGGAACAAACTTTAATAGATGTCCATGTCGCTCGAGACAAAACCTATAGTTTCTATTTTTGTATCTATACCACAGAGTATGTATAATTGTAATTCATGCCGGACGCTTCAAGGAAACCGTTGTAATTGTATGCTGGCGTACTTCTAAGAATGACAAGTATTCTGCTCTGTGATAACGTAATATTGATAATAGTATCAACGGCTATTGTCTTGTTTGTGTGTGTGCGACGTATGTGTGTTTCCACGTGGTGAGGATTACGTGCGAGTTGATATCGAAATCCGTTATTTGCAATGTGAGATCCTTTATTGTTTATCGTAGTAGCGCTTGACCTTTTATCTCGATGTTTCGACAAGTTGGTCCGCTGTATCAACAGTATTGTAGTTTTAACAAAAAAAAATTATCAACAAATATTCGTACGAATTTGCGTTTCAATCTCTTTATCAGTTTACTTTTATTATAAAGTAGCTGTCATCCGCGACTCCGCGCGCGTAATTAAAAAAAAATAATGAGTCAATGTGTTCTTCCAGACTATGTTCTACATCTATGCCATATTTCATCAAGATCAGTTGAGCCGTTCCGAAGATTTAAACAAACATCCAAACATCTAATCATTCGGTTTTTTTTTAAATTATTAATAAGAAGTAAGATAAGATAATATTAGTTAGAAGTAAGATTGGTTAATATAAATCACCCCAAAATATTCCATTAATATATTTCAGTGTGATAACACAATGGATGGCATGTGAATTCAATTCACACACCGGTTTTAATTGAACTCTATCGATACACCAGGACCCACGCCTCACAGATTCCTTGAAAACATTCGTTTGCCTTTTTGCCCACGCCTTCGATACAAACTACCGCATTTAGTTTACGTTTGCGCAACTAAGTATACTTTTAAGGGTGGTCACCCTTGGTGTATATTTAGTACTAACGTTTACCCGCGGCTTCATCCACGTAAAACAATCTCTACTAATAAACATAGCCTTGTTGTTCAGTGAATGGATAAAAATTTTCGAAATCGGTCGACTAGTTTTTCGGTTTTTTTTTTGGTAACATGCAAAAATACAAATCTTTTCTCTATATTATAATAGTATAGAAGCGTAGATAAGATATCTACTCAGAGGCACTTTTAATAACCACTTTAAAACTCTGAATCCGGGGGTAAGTACACCTTTCGAATAAATTTGAGTCGTATAATTTGATTGAACGATATAAAGATTCTCGTATCACTTTAGTCAGATCGATACGATATTTACAATTTATTGGATTTTCACTTTAAAGTTGTTCATTAGCTCTTTCCCTTCACCACGTGCTTTAAATGATTTTAAACGTGTCAGTTATTTTTAATAATAAAGGGTTTTTAAATAAATAAAGGTAATTTATTAATACATTTCTTAAAACATCTAAAATGTTATACAAAATTAAATTTGGAATCAAATGCTTCTTATTACGTGTAAAGAGTAAGTTTTTTGATTAGATTCCCTTTGTCTCGTTACTTCAAAGTTAAGTAAGTGTATCTACGTTAATGTAAAAGTTCAGTTGCTTTGAAATAAAAAACATTCTAAACTTATTATTTATCAAAGCTTACTTAAAGTGGCTTAATAAAGGAACTACAGCGTTTTTTTTTCTCTACATCCATTTGAAGTATCTTTTAAAAGATTCCCAGAGTTCCGAGTCCCAGGAGATAATGAATGGTTGTATTCTTCCACAACAACAACAGCTCGATACAATTGTATTAATATCGATTCAAGTTAGTCAAATCGTTATATCGTTTAAAGAGAATCGATAATTTTCCGTTGAACAGTCATTTCGCATGAGCCGGCTTTTGTCGCGCGTTTCCAGAGAATATGTGATGTGTACGCTCCTTTCGGAGACGCGTTTGTATGTCTCTTTGTTTTTATAGATCTTTCGCTGAAAGAACCAACGCCTGTGTTCGTAATGGCCTACCCTTTGCGTTCACATCTGTTGGCTGTAACAAGGAATACGAATTAATGAATACGCGCCTTTATCGCCCTAAAAAAAGTTTTTATGACACGTTACATTGTACCTGGAGAAGTGTTCCAGAGTCTTTTGAATTTGTAAATGAATTGACACGAATTTGCATTAATTAAATGAGTGGTTTCTTCCATATTCATATTAAATATATATCTTAAAATCTTATATCAACACTATACCAATGTTATAATTTTCTTATATATAATTATACATGCATCTGTTTACCGATCTTTGTTTTTTTTTTCGAGTAAAATTTATATTACATCAATATGAGTAAAGTAAAATGGGATAGTTAAATCTCTGGAAACGGAACGCATACGTCTATGTATACGTACTTATGAGTCAATACCCTTTTATAATTTAAAGCGACTCTCCGCATGAAGTGAGGTAATGGATACACCGAAATGGTCGCGGCGTGATACTTCGTTTAATATCGGGGCCAGAGTTTCGGCCCCAAAAAAGAGTATCGATAACAAAAAATCTTTCGATATTATCGTCATAAAAACACAAATCCCATTTTTTTGTCGAATATAGGTAGCACAAAAATGTGATTCATTTTATTTGTATTTTAATATAAATTTAATTTTTATACAAAAACGTTTTTATGAAACACTAAGTTATTGAATGTAAAAAATGCTGTATCCAAACTTAATTCGTAACCTCGAAATCATAGTTAGATGGTTTCTAAATTGGGTAGTTAATATTGCTATTTCCAAGTCTTCTTTTTGAATAACTTTCTATTAGCTGCTTTAATTTTGTTATGGTTATAATACACAATGACACATAACCCAAATAAGACTACAAAAAATATTTAAGATTTATGCCGAAATATTCAAACTCTATAGATCGATTTATCTGTTTAACAAAATATAGCGCGTGACCGTAACTAATTGTCAATTCTAGTTAACCTCTTAGATGTGATTACGGCCCTATAAATAAGTTTACACCGCTACTGTAAATCTTGCGGTAGTTTGTAACTTAATAATTTAATAAATAAGGTCGTCTTTTGTTAAATTCGTTGTTAAAAAATAAAAAGGTTAAAGTTCTTCGTTGGATACTCTACGCCAGAGGTGTCAACTGGGGTCGCACATCAGGATGTTTAAGCGTTTGGGTCGGTACGGACTTATAAAAAAATTTCAGAAATGGAATAATTATCGTAAACTAAATGCGGGCTATAGTTTCGCCTCCCCTGATGCTGCTCAACAATTATACGATAGACCTGACCTATACACGTTAGCACAAATTGTTGTTTTCGTTTGGAACCATTCTATTAGTTTTATAAAACATAAAACAAAATGTTGTTATTGCTGTTTTACAGGAGTTGATTTATAGTTCTGCATTTTTAGTATTTAGCAAATGTTTAGTTCTAAACAAATTCTGAGTCCGTAATTTCTGTATATTTTCTTTTTGAGCAATGTGATATTTAAAATTCTGACAACATCTACGAAAAGCGATTCAGCAACAGCATCTTAATGTAAGCCCGTGTAAGAAATGGCCGTGGCCATCTTAAGTATTTACATTTTGCACTACGTAGAATGCTTTTTGCTCTGGCAATTTTTTCCCCCACGTCCACTTCTCGGTAACAGCTCGTTGAGATGCCGCTGCCTCTAAAAAGGAAGAGCAGGTTCGCTCCCAAATGTTTATTACTTAAATTATTCAATTGGAGGTTATCCTGTTATGGAAATTCTGTTAGCGGGTCGACCGCGGCAGTGAAGTCACATTTCATTCGATTCTCCTCCTTATGTTTGTCAGAATAGAGGCGATTTTTATTTGATAGTACCTCCAGCTGTTAAAATGGTACATACATTGTTGTCGAGCAATGATTTGATTAATATTCTACACATAGTATGTGAATGCTATAAGTATATTTGTTGTTGTACTCAATTGTCCACCAAAGCACTAGTGGAAACTTTTTTGCATCTTAATTCATGTTGATTACGATTAGTAAAAAAATATATGTCCCATCACAATTTAATGCCTATTGTTAGATAAACTAGGCTAGAGAATTGTTTAACTAACAGTTGGCAAGTTTAAAACACTACACTATATGCAACTAGCGGTAGCCTGTGTCTCCGTTCGCGCGGAATTAAAAAAAACAAAATCAGTAGTCTATATGTTGATAATTGGTCGAGAAATAATGGAAGGTCCAATAAGAACACTTGTATCGTCCATGGTATTCAATTACACTACAATTTATTTTCGTTTTCTACATTTTGACATAAGATTTAAATATAAAAGGTTCGAATTTTGAAATATAAAAAGTTTTCTCAAAATTAGTAAGATTTAACATTGACTGGATAGAATTACTTAACGTTTGCCATTACCTATTACCTAACGTAACTCCGTTAGCAACTTCTAACAAACGATTAAATCATAGTCTGCATACATTGGATTACAATGTCTTCTAACACTTACGTAAGATATTATAAATTAGTAACCTTACTTCTTACTAATATTATAGATGCGAATGTTAAGATGGATGTTTGTTTGAAGGTATCTCCAGAACGGTTGAACGGATCTCGATGAAATTTGGCATACATATAGAACATAGTCTGGAAGAACACATAGGCTACAATTTTTTTTTCATTCCCCGCGGACGGAATCGCCGGCGACCGTTAGTTAATTATATAAATTAATTAAAATAAAAACTAATTATCCTGTTTGTTCACGTGCTATTGAACTTCGTTATAATGTAATAGATAACAGTGTAACCTCCCACTCGGTAAATTATTTGATAATGATTTCCATTTTATACTATTTCCATCCGACTATCCGCGATTCCGGGAACTTGTAACTCTTTATCAAATTTTTTAACGAACATACTCAAAGTTATGGACTATGAGATAAAAAGCTACGTAACAGGAAACCATACATATTGTATTATTTTAATTACTCATATAGTGACTTTCTGAGCTATAACTTATACAATGAATTATTGAATACTAGCTGTGCCCGCGACTTTCCGCGTGAAATACTGTCTTCGGGAAGCATTTTAATTATTTAGCCTACTTATTTTAACACAGTACATAACAACATAATATATTAAACTCACAAAACATTCATTTAAACCTCAAATATACTAATACAAACTTTCACCCCCTATTCCCTATTGTTACTTTGCATCCCTGAGGGTAAATTTTTTATGAAAATTGAATGTCAGATTTATTTATATCAAATTGATACCCTTAAAAATAAGTTTCAAGCTTCTTTATGTAAAACTCTCATCCCCACTTTCACTTTTTCACGTTAAAAGTAGCCTTCGTCCATTCTCGGCCTCTAGACGATCTGTGTACCTGTAAATTTCATTTAAATCGGTTCAGTAGTTTTTGCGAAGGATAGGCAGACAGAGTTACTTTCGCATTTATATTATTAGTAGGAATTACAATATTATTTAGTGTTTCTCATGTCTAGTCGTTGTATTTTGATCTAGGTCCAAAACATAAGATGCCCTTACTTCGCTGGCGCATCGACCCAAAGTGGGTCTTGGCCTCCGACACAAGAGATGCCCTTTCTATTTTTTAAATCTTGATCAGTAATCGTTTACCCTTTTGTAAAGTTATGTTAAGAAGTAATTTTCATCCACAGGATAAGAAAGCGGCAGTGGGTGGGGATCTGATGGCGGACCTGCATGCTAAGTTGTCCATGCGGCGGCGCGGCATCTCGGGTGCGGAGCGAGCACGCGGCGGCTCACTGCTACACGCCATGGCAAACGCTATCCCCGAGCCCGGAGAACAGTCCGCCATGGAACGCTCCTCCAGTGATGACGATTGGGATTAGTAACGCACAACTATCATTAAACAATATTAAAAAGTTTGTAAATAACATTTTCAAAATTAAAATATTCAAGTATTTTCCTGTCTTATGAAATGCATCTTTTGTATACGATGCTATTTCTAAACGCATACGTCGATAATTATGTAATGAATATTTGTGTGACCGGTTCGGGTGCGGTTTTGGTCAATTTAATAGCTGCGCCTTCTTGGAAACAAGTCATAATATCGCTTGAAATTATCGACGGCGCCCGACCGCTTTGCCTTTTATAAATTGTCCATTTAAAAAAGTAAATATGATTAGATGGTACTTTAAATAATGTAGATAATACTCGTAGTGAAAAAGGTTACATGTGTACATCGAGACGCTGTTTAAATGCTGCTCTTAAAATTGATCGCGTAAATCTCTTGTAAGCTCGAAGCGTCTAGCTCGTTATAGAACGCTATTTATGTATCATAGGCTCTATTATTAGCATAATAATGTTGTGAGCATCTGTTTACGTCTATATCGTGGTTTCTATTTACGAACTTAAATCGGAAAGGGCCCTCGTTCCGGGAGGTTATTACGATAATGACATTTCTGACTAGCGGCGCGGGCGCACGGTTAGCGGCCGTCTCGCTTTCGTTTCTGGGAAGGTGAGCGAGCGCGATCCTTGCGCGCGAACTATCAACTGGTTCGGCCGATTAGCATTTCCAGAATTGTGAAAAGAAAAAATATACTATATATGTTTATGGTCGAGCAAACTCTGCACCCGGAACTGCGCGTTTCGGAACGGTTTTGACACATGTCATATGCATATTGCCATTTGTTAGATAGACTTGTCTTAGAAAAAAGTATTTATAGCTACTTTTAAAATATGATTGCATGTTATAAAAATGAATTTTTAAAAATAAAATTTACAGAACACGTAAAATAAATTTATAGAGTGTACAAAAGATCGCATTTATATGTTGTTGCTGGTTGAATTTGAATAAAATTATTTCTTCTCTGTTTCCAAACAATGAAATAGTCGTTGTGTTTTGTCGTTAAGAGTTTAATAGATGTGAAACTTATAAATGAGTATGGAAAAATCTGAGGGTAGTCTATTGACGTAAAATGATATTGTATCATACGATCGTGTGGGTTTAAAGTTATTACTGCTATCGGGAGACTTGTTAAGAATAGATGGGAAAGAGTTTTGATAAATTTTACATGCGTGAAATTGTAACAGGGATTTATAATCTGTTATAGATGTAGATCGGCATAGAATTAGATATCGGTAAGAACTGAGAACATGTGATGTGCGTGCCTATTCTGGGAGGTGCTAAATATAAAGTTAGGCATACTCGAAATATTACTATCTTTTCGTATTGCTTCAGCTTGTGAAATCTATTATGAAAAGATTAAGGGTGGATTTTTACTGTTGTATTTGCATAAAACATATTGTTATCCCTTTCATTCTATTTAAGAAAACAGAGACAGCAATATGTTTAAAGACGATGTTACAGTGAAATTAAACGGTAATAAAGAGTTTGTACGTCAAGCTTTACCGATTGTTGTGAATTTTAGGACATTTTATCGCTTTATGATTGTACCATATATCTAACTACATTTACATTTGTTGTAACCTTAAATGTTTTAGCACGCGGTAACATGTTCAGATTTTTAATCAATGTTGTAAATAAATTTTTTGATCGAATCGAAAAAGGAACAACGAACAACGGTTGTTAATAAGAGATGTTTAGAAATTTATATATGATATTATAGAAATATTTCGTTGCGCTATAGTTAAATATTCTATTTGAAAATTCCATAAATGTCCATTAATAAATGTTCTATTAGCATAAAGACGTCGGGAGTAATTTGACACGCCTCGGCAACTAATTAAATGAGTTACGTAATTATATATGTAATTGGAAATTAAAAAATATATTGCTTTAAAAAATTATTAATCTACGTTACTGTCGAACTCAGAGTCTACTAAGGAAATGTTTAAACTGTACGTTAGGATAAATTTTATTAATCTGCACTTAAGGACTACGTCAACAATTCTTAGTGCGACTATAATTCTTATATAAAAAAGTATATGTAGAATTGTATATTTGGTGCTTAAAAATATATATAAATGGTTTTATTTTCGCACGTGTTACTGTAAAACGTGACGGTGTTTATAAAATGGGAGCATTCGGTTTTTCGGCGGTGTCTTTTTGTTACGTTTAAATTTACATTTGTATGCCGGTCGTTGGTCGGGAGACGAACAGTTAAGTTCCGACGAACTAGCTGTATACAACGACTCTCCGCTGCTATACGTGGATTAAATTCAGCTTACTAATCGTACAGCATAATCCGGCTACGAAACACTATAGAATACTAACATTGTAAGCCCTTCTTTGAATACGTATCGTTCTGCTACCAACATTTCAAATAATTAGTTTTATTTTTATAAGTTAACATTACTGTCGTTTTGTATTTTATATACACGTAATCATGTTCTGATTAAATCCTTACGTAGATCGAACGTGTCTTCGATTTAGTTGTTAGAAGCCGATTCTTGCCTATAAAGCATGAATCAGACCTCAATAGATCTAGATTGGTGCACGACATTTTATGTTATAGTTTATGTCTGCATTGAATATTAATAAGATTTAGCGTCCGAAGTTTAGAGTATCGTATAACGTTGGGAGTGATTAATGACCGCTCGACGTAATCTCCAGTAGGGACCTCTTATACATAATACATGGACTACGTCGGAATTAGCTTACGCCGTGAGAAAGTTGCTTTTTCTAAATAAAAACTTATTTGTGTGTACTTGTATACAACTGTCAATCTGTATTTTAGCAGCTATTTTAAAATTAAATTTCTATATTACTTAGCACCAATTATAGAATTTAAGATTTTAAATTAAATCTGAGTAGCTTTAAGATGGCTTTTATAAATTAAGAATCGGTTTAAATTAATGTTAAGATAATGAATTTGTTAATGAAATTATGTATATAGTTAAGTAATATTGATGTTTTATTGTATAAAATTAGATTTAACTAACATTTAGTAGTTAACACTTGCCTGCATAGTTTTTATATTAAGTTTTGACTGATTGATTTATATGATCTACGTTTTAGTGTTGTTTTTATACACTGCGTGCATTTCTTGTTTTACTTTTTTTTTAGAGATCGATTACAAATACATTTCGAATACGTGTTGCGGTACAACTGAATAGTCATGTTTATATAAGATGGGAATTTTAAAAGTATAAAAATGTATTCTGTATACTTCAAGCTGTAGGCTACAAATAATACAAGATAACAGCAAGTTCTAATCAGTTTTATAGTAATGCTTGTAAATAAAGTAACCGCGAAATGCCCATTTTTTTTTAATATTTAATCCTGATAGTTATCGTCCTGTATACATACGTTTGTTGTACGAATCAATTTTAAATGTTACAATGTACGTCATTAATAAATGAAATTTTAAATAATTGAAGTTGTTCTTTTGTTTTTTCCAACCGTTTTTGTTTATATTTTAAAGTGACGTGTGTACCTAAAATAAGGTCTACACTTACAGCTGCTCTTACTGTGGGTTTCTGAGACCAAAATCTGTATAATATATTGTCATTCCTATTATTATCTTTAACAAAACAGATATAACAGTATGTTTTAAAAGGAGGTTTTAGTGTCAGAAACCCACGGTTAGTGTAATAAATCAACCATTAAACTATAATGACTGAATGGGGCAGTTAATAGTTTCTTTTCTTTTTTCAAGATGGCACCCATTTGACCTTCAAAAAAAATATTTATAACAGAATTGATGAACTGAGTTGAGGAGAACGATTTCGTAACACAGGGTCAGCGACTTCTTTTCACGCATTTTGATTATAACGGCGGAGGCAGCTCGCTAGAAAGCTACGTGTTTCGAGTTTAACACGGCATCGGCCCAGAATGACGTCCATCGAGATTTCTCGGTATAACAACGCTGAGTATTTCGGAATCGGAAACAAGGATTCCGGGAAACGGGCGCCCGCGCCGGCAGCCGCGAGGACGCTGTGCTCGACGTAGGCGTGATTAACAACCTCTAGCGCACTTACAACACTATTATCACATTTTAATTGCATTTAAGTCTTTCAAAAAAGTAATAATCACTTCGATGGAAATCTAAAATTTTTACTTTTTGGATTAATTCTATTTCCAACTTACGTTATTCTGTGAAGTATTGAATAAAATTAGTTTATTTATATAGATAGATAAAACATCTGGCGCAAATACTGTGCATCCACCGGTTTACGTACAACATAACTCTTACAAACATAGATATCTCTAACCTTACCTCGGTACGGTATTCCAAAACGGAGGGTCGTCTTTCTTCTGATCATGCGGGTAAGTATAGAATAAAATTAATATTTATTTTTTAATAATTTTTCTAATAGTCATATAATTAAGAAGGTACTTGGAACCCAACAGAAGTTTTTGACAGGTAAAATGATATACGAGTGTTGTACAGTAATTTATTTCCTAGCTACGAAATGTAATTAACTCTCACAAAGGTTCTAGACACGTTTAATTTCAACTCGCGTGGCGTTGGTTTTCTTTTCTTAGAAAGGAAACGAATTATGCGCGTTGGCTGTACGGTGCGTACTCGCCGCCAACTTGCCGCATCCAACAAGAAGATTAATGATGGCGGTGATTCAAAATCGTTACAAGACGTCCGCTTTTATTATTTAACCACTTATAAAAAAAACACTATCATTACAGAAAAATTACTTGGAACTTGGTATATGCTATTAAAAGTTCAACAAGAACTCTGCAAACCTTTCCTAATATTAAATACAATACGAAAAATTCGAACGAATAAAAGAAGCGTACGAAAAAATCATTTGGTCACGAAGAAAAGAAAATAAAACTTTTTATTTTGCTTTGACATCGATTCGTAACAAGAGCCTGAAATAGATTTAGGAGTTAATAAGGAAAGGGAGAAGATATCAAGTAAGTGGACTCACACACTAATAATAGAAAAGAAAGACTGTTTCGCGCCTGCAGTGAATCTAATCACGGCAGGACCTTTTCTTGCGACAACTCTCTTCAAAGGCGCAGATATTCCTCGAGTTACAACTAACTTTTTGCTGTAGAACACGGTATTTAAAGATTAATGTAACTTTATATTATTCATTAACAAATCAATTTCAGTATTTTACAAATTAATTTTGGAGGTTTCAATATAAAATAGTTATTAAGTTGTTTAGGTTATAACTTTTGTTTTGTTTGCAAAAAGTTGAAATCTATAAATAAATATCCTAAAATTGAAACTAAAATCCATTATTTTTTACTTGTCATACGCTTTAAATATTATTTAGAGATTGATTTATTTATATTTTTGTATCACAACTTATTTATATATTTTGGAATGTCGGAACGTCGTAGATTAATTGACACATCGCTCTTGACATCTGTCAACCGTTCTGACATCAGTCAAACAGCACGTGGAAATGATAATTTTTAAATTACAAATATCCTACAATTTTATTCTTAATAATTAAGTTGTCTTGATACACAATAAGCTGTGTATTTTCACAATTATTTGTTAACTTTTTACAAAGCGTTTTTAGATTATTTTAAGAATAAGTGCATTGTAATTCATAATGTTGAAGACCAAAAGAAAAATCACTGAAGTAGACGCTGGATCGCCGAAGAAAAAGAAAGTTCAATTTACTGAATCAAAAGATGATCACAAAGAGGACAAGTCAAATGGAACCTCAAAATTCAATAAAAAACCTAAAAAAGACTTTAAAAACAGTAAACATGATCCCAAATCTAAAACTGTTAATAAAGAGAACAAAGCCGGGTTTAAAACCAAAGGAAATTTTACACAAAACAAAGGAAAGTTTGGTAAAGCACCTAATGCTAAAGGTAAACCAAATTTTGCCAAAGATAAATTTTCAAAACCACAGGAACAAGGTGAAAAACCGGTATGGTCGGAAATGAAAAAAGAAAAGAAAAACTTACGGCTCATTCGGCGTAAAGCTAAGGCTACTGCTGAAATATTTGAGATTTCACACAAGGCAAAATTATTATCTGCACAAATACAAAGGTAATTTCTAGCTGTACAGTTTTTGATTTATTTAGTTTTGCTCATTGAGTCCACTCAAAACGGTTATATGTTATTTTAAAAGTCACATATCAATATGTGAGTGAGTTGCTCTCAAGAGCAAGATTTGCAAATAATGTTGTGTAACAATTTGTTAAAAATAGCACAAGTTTATAATTATGTAACATACATTTATTTTCTTATATATTTGTTAATACTACATAACAAAAAACTATTAGTATATAATACTTCCAGAAAAGTGGTGAAACAGGAGTTCAGAATGAAGGCATGCAAGGAGTTGCACTGTATGTTAAAAGGCCAGTACAAATCCATCGCACTCACTCACGATTTAAGTAGAGTCATTCAAGTCCTACTCAAGCATAGTCCAGAGGATATAAAAAATGAAATAACAGAAGAATTATTAGACATAATGGTGCAAATGATGCAATCAAAGTACGCACAACATGCAGTCAAACGGATTATGAAGTATGGCACGGATTTTATTCGTCATGAGGTTATAAAGAAATTGTTTGGTCATATTGTGTCACTGGCCACTCATACTATAAGTGCACCAGTACTTGACTTTGCATATGGTGAGTTTGCTACAAAGAAAGAAAAGTTGCACATGCAACAAGAGTTCTATGGTGACTTATATAAGAATGTAAGTAAAGTAATACCCATACTTGGCTATAATTATATCTTGTCTCTACTCTATACAAAGGCATGAAGATCACACACAAATATTCTGTTTCACAGATCTGTCTTTTATTTAGTCAATCTTTTGTTCCTATAGCTTGTGTAATTTGTGTTCCAAATAAGTGATAGTAGAGTACTTACACATCATTTTTTACAGTCTAAGGATGATAAAATAAAAACTCTTAGTGATGCATATAAGGATACACCAGAAATGAAAGTTGCCATTTTGCAAGCTTGCAAAGCAAATATCCAGAAGATTTTGGACAAAAATCTGCATGACAGCGAGTATGTATAATGTTTATCTTTATTGTTTAAAAAAAGGAAATCTACCCCTCTCGGTATTGGTGTAGATTTTGTACTGTAAGGAAGAAAATCCGACACTGTGTCGACGTTTTATCCCCTCACTAGTCATTCGCCCCAAAGGATTCTCACTAAAAATGTCATCATTTTCTTTAAAACTTTCATATTTTGTGAAAATGTAATAAAAGACATGTACCATATCATATAATAAGCCATTGAATTAATTAAAAAAATAATGTTACTGATGTATAAACATAACTTTTCCAGGTTGTTCCAAACTGTATTATACAATTACGTCTGTGAATGCACAGCTGAAGATAAAGCGGAACTGATCTCAACTCTCAGTCCATTGATTGTACCGTTGAGCAACTCACTGCCTGGTGTAAATGTGGCCAGTATCTGTGTCTGGCAAGGCACTAACAAAGACAAAAAGGTTTGTTGTACAAAACATTTATTTAAAAAATAAATTTCAAATTAAAACATATTAACCAGTCCACTGCCAAACACCTGGACAAATACATATTGTCATCCTTGTCATTCTTTTTGAAAAAAACAGAGATAGCAATATTTCTTTCCAGCATTAGAAAATCATGGTAATATGGCAATTGTAACATAGTTTTTTTATTTCAGACTATAATGAAAGTTGTAAAAGAACATGTTGTTTCTTTGAGCAAACACAAGACTGCATATCGTCTCTTAATAACAATATTTGATGCCGTTGACGACACCGTTTTAGTGAAGAAAGCTATTGTATCAACATTAGCTAGTAATTTGAAAGATGTTGCCAAAGACCATTGGGGTAAAATGGTAGGTACACTTTTCTATGTAAATGTATGCTTGGTTATGCTTAAATGTCTGAAAATAGCATACTCTACATACAAAAGATTTATTAATTATAAATATATCTTCCAAAATATATAAAATAAATGGTTTTTTAAATAGTAAGGAAAACTTTATTGTATGTTGTAAAGCCTATTCAATTTATAAAATAGCTTTTGACTGCTTTAAATAATTTTAAATTATTGTTGAAATCTGTCTAGTACTATTTGAATATGTTTGTTACATGCAAAAATACAAATTATTTCTTTTATAATATAACTATTGTTAAAATAATTATCCAGGTATTACATTGGCTGGTGAAACCTAAAGATCCGCAAGCATTCCACCCCAGTTTCATTAAGTTCTTAGAAGATGGCGCCAAGAGTGGTACTTCAAAGAAAGATGCAGACCTCCGTGTGTCGGAGCTCCGTGAAGCTATCCTGCCAGTTCTGAAGCAAGATATGGAATCAGATGCCGACTTTTGGTTGAGTAGTAAAGCTAACTTTCTCCTCACTATAGCTGTATTATCAATCGGTAAGGATTATTTCTAAGAATTCTTTTAAGTAAAATTTGATTTTTCATACTTAAGCAAGTTAATGGCACTGAATGTGTTAACCTCTAGGTGTAACAATACCTTCTCTAGATCTAAATCCAGATTTTTTCTTACATTTCATTTTATTGTTAAGTCATGAGAAAACTCATATTTTATTATATCATTTAAGAGCACTTTAATTAAAAAATAAATTCCTTGCGAAATCTATTCCTATATAAATCCTAACTGCCGCCCGCATCTCTGTACGCAAGAAATTAAAAACACTTAATTAGTAGCCTATATGTTCCTTCAGACTATGTTCTATATCTATGCCAAATTTCAGCAAGATACATGCAGCCATCCTGGAGATACCATCTAAGACACCCATCCATCCATGCATCTAAAATTTCGCATTTATAATATTAGTAAGATTATGACTTTTATCCACAGAAACATCTAAAGAAATCTTAGAATCCCTAGCTAAAGTGATATGCCAATCAAATTGGGTGATAAATCTTGATGGCAAAGAAGTGTTGGCTATCGAAGATGCAGGTATACATATGTGCCTCAAGAAACTTGCAGCTCTGGACAAAGAAAAGACTGAGGGGACACTCGGAGATGTTATGTGTGAACATTTGAATGATGAAGCTGTAAGTTTTATTATCTGTATAAGTGTTTACACTTAAAATTTGATTGTTTCCGAGTGATTTAAAAACTTATTTTTAACCAATTTTTTAATAAGTAAAAATGTTAGCTATATGTAGTATTTACTAAATTTGACGATAGTTTTAAGTATAAGTAATTAAAGATTTAATAAAGCTCTATGGTGCCTTTTTAGTATAAAAAATTCAGTTCTATTTTTATTCAAATTTAATATTTAATTTTTGTTTTCAGTTTAATGTTTGGATTCCGACGAATAGAGGATGCTTCTTCCTTCTCAAGTTAATTGAAAACAATGAAGAGAATATAGCCAACAAGTTGATTAAGAAGATTAAAATGCATTCAAGTCTTATAAAGCAACAGACATCTGAAGGTGCGAAGCTCTTGTTACAAAAGGTTCAGAAAAAATAAAATATCTTTTGTATATTCAATTATTTTTTTTTATTCAACCATGATTAAATAATTTAGATATGACAATTATTAAACTTAAATTATTTATTTAACCCATATTTTATCTATAGGATTTAATTCAGCAGTTTTAATAACATCTATTGACTTTTCTAGTAATTCATCCTCAATTGCCTCTATTGATCTGAAAATGGAAGAAAAATTTATCTGTCAAAGTTATTGCCTTAATTTCAAGAATTTTCCATATAAATTAGTTGGAAAATATTTGTTACATTGGACTATTAAAGGTTGATTTAAACAAATTCCACGTATGGTCAAGCAAACAATGCACCCAAGAGGCATAAGCATTAAAATTTTAAATGCGTTATATGACTTAAAAATAGAAAATATTATTAGTAAAAATGTTACCTCCTGGCATCTAAAACATCCCAATTATCATCTCTTAATTTATCATACATTTCTGATACCCTTTTTTGAAAGTCTAACACCTCGTACCTGCAACACAAACAAATAATATAATATAGGGTTTAATTTTGAATATGGAATATACAGAAATAATTTAAATGATATGAAATATTCCAACCTCTCATTGCCAAATCCATTTCTCTGTAGAATATTGTCAAGTGGCATAGTAAGAAAAAATACCTTATCAGGTTTTGGTAAACCGGAGTCTGGTGACTTACACCAATTTATATCATAACCTGCAAAAAGTAAAATATGAAAAGTCTGGTTGTATAATTTGGTTTGGTTTATACATAGCTAAATTAAAAAATGCATTACCTTTTGCAGCAGTAAATGCCACACCTGAGTAGCAATATCTGTCCACAATAATACTTATACCTTCTTCCAACTTTTTTATTAAACTGCGAGCTTTCTCCCAACGATTTGCGGAGAATAATAGGTGAATTGTTTCATCGGATAAATCATTCTGGAAAATTAAGCGTGTGAGTTATTAAGCAAATATCAGCAATAAAACAACAAGTGCTAAAATTTTACCTTAGACTTCAAGTAGCTGTTAATCACTTTGCCAATTTCAGTACTCCTGTCAGGGAAATTTACGTATTCTGCTTTAATTTTCCGATTGTTTAAATTTTCAACTATTTTAGGACAAAGTATCAAGTCATTATAGGATCAACATATTTTATATGCAATATATAGGAATCGTTAAAAAACACTACTTACCTAAGTTTTTACTTTGTGTCGATTTACCAGTTCTATCTACACCTTCAATAACTATTAAAGCTCCTCGTTTAAGGGACATTGTTACTAATGTTCAACTTTTCAAAACATAAATGGATATTACTTCATAATTTATAAATCGTATTACAGTATATCTTTGTAGTTTTGCTATTTTTTTTTTACTTTTGGCGGTAAATAATGACAAGATATTCATCTTATGACATTTGAAACTTCGTAAATGACATAAACTAGTGTTGCTTACTGCAAATTATTAGACACATTAAGGTAGGTTTGTTTTAGTGGGTAGTTAGTAATTCTAAGATATTGAATGTCTTAAATTTCAATATCAAAGCAGATTGTGGCACCCTCATAACAGGGATACATATTTCTGGTCGGGCCATACAAAGTGTAACTTTAAGAATTCTTAAAAGGCAACACTCTTCAAAGCAAAATTTGACGTTTTGCTCTCCCTTTCTTTTGCTTTTGACACATTTTGTGATTGACGCGCGAACGGCGCAGAGTGGCTGTATATTTTCTTTTTTATTAATGTAAATACTTATTTTTACACCATGAAAAAAGGGTATAAAGTGACGGACGTTAAAAGGGAGAAAAAGATTGGAGTCGCCGCAGAGAACTTAAAAGAGTTAATTGAGAAATCATGCCAAAAACTAAGTGTAAGTTTAATTATTAACTATAATTTCCTATAAAATAATAATTACACATTTACCAGATGACCTTATTCTTCTTTTATCTAAAAGTTATTGCATATTTTTAAATAATTTAATACGCCTGGACGAAATGGGCCAAGGACAGCTTCCCTTGACCCGTTTTAATCGAACCTTGACCTAATTTAATTTGACGGTTCCCAGTTCAATGTCAGCTGCGCGGAGTGCCGCCTTTTTGTGGCCGAGGACGGGACACAGGTGGACGACGACGATTATCTTGCGACTCTACCACCTCAGACTTTATTCATTTTGTTGACCAAGAAACAAAAAATGGTAACTGGTATGTTATACACAATATGTTTTATTTACATAGAAAATATTCTTTTTTAAATTGAAAAATAAAAGTATTTTAAACTTAATGAAAATTTTAGTTTTGAAACTTTTTTATTTTTCTATAAATACTTTTAATAGGTGTTGAATATATTCTATGTTAAATTGTTTAATGGTGCTTATATAATTTTACAGTTAATTAAACTACCAACTAAATATGTGTCCACATTTCTAAATTATTATATTAGTTAATAGTAAAAGTGTTATTTCAGATTTTGACTTCTACTACAATTTAATAAGGTCATCGAAAAAGGATTACATTGATACTGGTTTTGCTGCTAAAGAATTCCTCAACACCAATATTAGGGATAAGTTTAAAGTATTCCAGAAATATATTGCAGCAGCCGATGATGCTAAAACCTTGCTTAGTGATAGAAGTGAAGATCCAAATTGGTTTGAAGGTAAATTTCTATTCCATGCATTTATAGTATTCAAAACTACTCAATATGCTTCAGCATACTTATGCTAACTTTTCAAATACATTCTCTACTCCAAACTAAAATGTCCCATCTTTGTAACCAAGATCTCTTTTACTAAATATAATTTTTTTATGTTCTATACAGAAGATTGTACACTTACTATTATAAAGAGCTGTTTTAACCAAATTTCTTAGCTATAAATCAGTCTAGCACACCTTAAAATAATGTCTATTATTTGGCTCCCAGAGCATGGAACCTAGGTGCTATGCTTCCCTGCTACTTGGGCTAGGATGGCCCTGCTTTTATCAATATAAGCTCAGTAAACAGTTAATCCCGCATGCCATATTTAACTTAAAAAAAGTAAAAGCTTTTAAAAAAATTGTGTTTGTAAATGGTTGAGTATAAACAATACTTGAAATTAATCATTTTAAGAGCTCTCGTTTTCTATTGAAACCGGTATCGTGAAAATTGCAGTGTACTTCAACTCCTTTACAAAAAGATTTAGCCTATTGTTGCGGGTTGCGGTTAAAAGCTTGGTAAAGACCTTGTTCTTGACTATAGCGTAAAAAAGCACTTACTGAATACTCTATAATAACGAACATTATCATTTAATCTATCTTATATTTTAGTCATTTTTAATTTTGTATGCTATTTATTATTACTAATTACTTTTGTAGAGAATAGTATGTTCCTTTTTCAAATATTTTGTTTAATTTCAGGATTAGAGTTATCTGAGAAGACAAAAGAGCAATCAATGTGTAAACGAGCTAAGGAGAGAATGAGAGGTTATTATTACAAAACTAAAACTGCATTAAAATCATCAGACTTCTATGTACACTCTAAGAATGGGCAAGGTAAGCGACTTATTGATCAGTTTCTTATAGAACTACAAAAGAAACTTGAATCAAACAATTACAATGGGAGCTATTTTAATAGAAAAGATCATAGTGACTACCGTTTATGCTCTGATAGTGGTTTATTTCAATGCGGAGGTTTATGGAACATTGATAAATGCAGTTACAACAGAGAACACGTTATCAACCCGTATCGTAGCCGCGAAGAAAGAATTATATTCCAAACTTGGAATCTTGATCATAAAATTGAACTGTCTCGTTCAATTATACCCAGCATTTTCAAAGCTTTCGAAGCATTACAACTAGGCAACTGTTTTTGTATAAACTGTGAAGAAAATCATAGTGTTGGTAACATTGATACAGATAGATATTATCTGCAAATATTTACGCGGGATAATTTGAAATTGGTACACATTGTGTGCCATTATAAGGGGAAACATGATGCTACATCAGATGTATATACAGTTTGCAAAGCATGCTCGAAGGAAAGATTTTAAATAATTTATTCATATTTGACTATCGTTTTGTTTATATTGTTATATGTATAATACATAGATATATTTTCCATTCTACTATTACTATTTTAAAACCTGTGATATTAATTACTTTTAAGTTAAATCTTGTATGTATTATATTTGTTATTTTTCATGTTTTTTGATGTATGAAATGAAAATTTATGTATTATATCAATATTAAGAGAGCTTAGTATTAAATATTAATGGAAATTTACAGCACAGAATGAACTAAGAATTATCTTAAATATGCACATAGCATGTTACATAGTAGAAAAATTATGTGTGTTTAACGTAAAAAAAGGAAAGAAAAACTCAATTGAATTTTCATATAGTTCTTATAGAAAAGAACAGGTAAAGTTAGAAAATATTATCAAAAGAAATATAGAACTAAAATAAATCATATAAAAACAATATTGGTGAAGAAAGTCAAGTTTTACAAATTAGAAATTTGTGAAATATTGATTGTAATTTTATATTCTCTCATTACAATTCCTGTCCCTTTAGAATAGTAAGTTTTTAGACTTAATATAATTTGATTAATTAATTTGTCGACTAAAGGTTGGCACTACTGTTGTTTTAGTCTTGCCAATAACATTATATGTTAACAGACCATAATTTTTAACTAACCTTAGAGAGAAAAATTGATTAGACCTTTAGTAAATTATGTGAGCTCTTCTGTGCCAAAAATTATTAAAAAAAATGTTCTTAAATATTTTTTTATGTTAAATATAAAATTAACGAATGTTCTGTATATTTTTAGCTATGTTCAATTATGGTCACCTAGACTAAGAAAGGATAAATAGATATTAAAAAGTCATGTGCATTTATAAATAAGCTATATCTTTTAAAACAAATATTTTTTATACTATGTTGAAGATATTCCTATTTAATAATATTGGTTTGTATTTATTTTTTAAATAATCAATGTGTTTCGAATCTTTTCATATTTTTAATAAACTACAGGGTTATAGATAGCCGCATTCAATTTTTCTAATTTATTTTTATCACTTTAGATTGTTTATACCATAGATAAAATAACAAATTAAACATTATTATTTTATGCTAAAATATATAATTTTTTTGTATTGTTTAAATATTTTTAATTCATAAAATTGGGCACTCTTGCACATTTATAATTTGTAAAATATTTATTTGTACATTTGATGTTTTTTATATATTTATTATTGTTTTAATTTACGTTATGTAAAGGACTGTACTTGTCTTTAAATGAACTTAAAGAGGAATAATATTAGCCTCATTATTTTTCTATGGATTCTATTTTTCTAATCTTACTGTAAGTTTGATATTTGACTAAGTATATATACTTATATGTAGACAAACTATATATTAGAGTGAAATGTTAGGCAATATGAATAATCAGCAATAATATGTAGAGGAAATGTTATTGTGATATCATACATATGTATAAATTAAAAATATTATATGTTGCTATATTTTATAAATATGTAAAGGCTGGTTAGGTTGTGTGTAGAGTTAAATGGATTGTTTGTGGGATGTGGCATTTGGGGAAATGCAATGTTATTTCTTTAATCAATGCGAGTCGACTGCTGTGAAAGTGTTAGACATGTTCAGATTTGTCTCTTGTATGTAGTCATACATTGTCTATTAAGAAACCCGACTTTCCTTCAGCTATTTGATTGGTTTAAATGTTAACAAAGTTGGAGTTTAGAATTCTATTTAGACTTAACTAAGTTTTATTTTTGTTTCGCAAGTAAAAATTAGATTTATTAACGCCTGGTACAGATTAACGAAGAATATAAAAATCCCGGTCTAGAGGTACTGCAATTGGCTTCTTTATTAAATTACTTTCAAATGTGCCAGAAGTAATTAATTACACATTTTTCGGTAATATGGCTGGAGTTTTTAAATTACTGGCCAGGCTGTAATGTAAACTATTCTATTGATTTGTCAAGGCCATAGAAATAGACAGGAGACTTAATAAAGAACTACTAATAATTAAAAAATATAAATACAACTATAGTTCGATAAATTTTTATGGCATTTTGTTAACCAACTTCAAAAAATAAGTTATCAATTTGTCTGTATTTTTTTTATTTTACGGGTCAGAGAAATTAGTCGCCTTTTAAACGTAATATTTATGATATCATAAAAACATAGGAGAAATATTATGGTAACTGTAGACGCTTCCAATAGAGCTTTATAGTTGTTTGCGAGTAGAAAGTGTTCATATGTTACGTAGTATTTAGATGTTCTCGATTTACAGTATTACTAACCCATTCCAAGATCTGATTAGTATATAATGTAGCGAGATAAATAGGAATTTAATATAGTACATAAATATAACTTTGTAGTGTTGAAAATAAGCTTCTTAATTTGAAATAATTGCAGTTCATTGAAATGTTAACGTAATACAGTCGAACCTGGAGAAGCAGGAGTCGAAGGGATCGCTTATGTTGTTCCGTCGAGAGTAGTAATGACTCTTGCTTATAGAGGTTCCTCGCTTTTCAGGTTCGACTGTATATGTGCAAATTATTGGTTTATGTTTATCACATTTGCGGGCAATTGTCATAATGTATTAGTTCCATTGATTTAACAATTAATCATAGCAAACAATACTATAGAAAAATATATGAAAGTGACAAAATAAAATTTGTTTAATTTAATTCCAAATGTGTGTTTTGTATTCAATTTCATTTGTTATTTATGATATAAAAATGTCCATGTTTATTTAATCTGAATGTAAAAAATTAAATACAATTTAATGAGAGCAATATGGCAAGGAGTATCAGGTAAAAAAAAGTTATATGGGTTAACATATTTAAAATTTAAGGAAAACAGTAGGAAATGTGAAGTTTAATATAAACATAGTATTTATGATTAAAAAATTTATTACCATACAGATTATGTAATAATTTTATCTCCTCTTTCTTCCGGTGGCTTTTTTGTTGGGATTTCTTTGTCCTTTGCCAGCTTTAGGTTTCTTGGCTGTGAAATTCGTTACATTGCCTCCCTTGGCTTTGCGTTTTCCTTTAATTGGTTTGGCATTTTTCTTTTCTTCTGACCTCCTATAATGATAGATTGTTATCAAAAAGTATTAAGAAAAATTAACCAGGCACATAATCACATTTTCTTGGACAAGACTGATAAAAAATGTACATATGCCTAATTTTACTATGAGTTTTACCTAAAACTTCTGTAAGATGTTAAGAGCTATTGAAAAAAGTCAAACCTGGATAAGCAAGAGACCAAGGTACTGCAATATTTCTCTTGCTTATAGAGGTTTCACAAGGTTATCTCTGGGGACCGAATAATGACTTGCTTTTAAGGTATCTCGCTCACCCTGAAGTGTTATCAATGACAGAAGATTAGTACTTACTGTATTTGTTCAGTATGTATGTGCTTAGCCACAGCTTTCTCCATATCAATTTTGGGTCTCTTATTCAATATTTTGTCAATAAGGTTCAAATTATTTTGTTTCTCTTGTTGAGGTGTTGGTATTGGTGCTTTACGTTTCCTCTCTTTGCCAGGTATTAACTCGTGAATACCTTTTCCGCGTGCCTCCTTTTCTTTAGGTAGTTTGTCTTGGAATTTACCGAGAGATGCTGTTGATGCCTTCGCTACAACTGCTGCTGTTGCAAGCTGGAATAGAATACAAATGTACTTTTTAATATTAAAATATTTTAATATAGTCTTACTAATATTATAATTGTTTGGATGGATGGTTTGCGTACCTGGTACCTGAAGTACCTGCAGTACCACTCTATAGATCTTGATGTAATTTGGCATAGACATAGGAAATAGTGTGGAAGAACACATAGGCTAATCATTGAGTTTGTTTTTTTCTAATCCCACATGGATAGAGGCACGGTCAACAGTCTTTAAAAATAAAAATGTTGGAGACATCATTTTCATTTAATTCCTCCTAAATTAATATAAATGGGTTTTTTAGTCTTGCATATGGCAATTATTTTAACCATCCACCTGACAATCTTCGAACTATGAGTACAAAACAACACTTAACATACCTGTGCTGCATTAGCTTTATCAGCTGTCACTGGTAGTCCAACTCTAGGAATTTTTACTTTCCTAGCTCTGGCAATGTTCTTAAGTCTTTGCAATTCATTCTTAGCTACTTTTTCAGACTTTTCGCTAGCTTTCTTTTCATACATATCTGTCATTGGATCAACATTCTGAGGTACTTCTATGAGCCAATTCTTCTCTTTCTCAGCTGCGGCTTTCTTAAATCTACAAATATATATGGTTAATTAACATTATATATTTATATTTTTAAGGTAATTTCTTTAAAAAATATGAATTACATGCCATAGAGAATCAAATGGAAAACCCACAGGGACAACAATTTTAGTTGCGTTATGCATGCCTAAGCAAATCTCGTAATGAGTTAGCATTTCTTTATTTTAGACCTCTTATTCAAAGTTAACTTACCCAAATAATGGTACCCATTTTTGTAACTGTTCATCCCATTGTGCTTTATCCTTCTTCTTCTTTGTAATACCCTTGGCTTTAGCAAACTCCTGCCATTTAGTCAGAGGTTTAGGCTTAGGCACTGGCTTAGACCGAGGCAGTAAAGTTTTAGGCACTGGCAGTCTTACAACTATCGCCTCATCTATTCTCTCTGTAGGTAGTTCCCATACTTTATTTAATAATAACTGTGTATTATCTCTGGTTAATGCCTCCAAATACTTGTCTCTTTCATTGTCACTTCTAAAAAAAGCAGTTTTAGAAAATATTAAAAAATGTCTATTGTAAATGAGACGCCTTATATTGCCACATGAAATGTTTTGTAAGTAATTTTATACCTAACTTAGGTTATACTAGAAGTTTAAACTTTCCCACACTAATCAAAGTATTGGTATATAAAAGACATCGCGTGTACAATGAAATTAATGTAATTTTATTAACTTCTGCATACATAAGAAGTGGTTATAGATTTAATTTGGATTTCTACTTACTGTAAAACTTTTAAATCCAAGTCGTTTGTATCTGAAGCAAGGAGTGTTCCGACATCAAACTCGACATCTAAATGTTTCTCAACGGTTATTGGTTTATATTTCTCGGCTTTCTTCTGCTCTCTTTCTAAAATTTCATTTACTATATCCATTTTCTTAAACTAATACGCAAAAACTTAACCTAAATCTCACGTTTGCTTTGACATTTGTAAAGAAGGTTTACGTCTATCTTC